GCTTTTGTGCATATATATGCTTGTGTTGACATTATTAAAGTGATATGTGTGTGTTTTATGTTGTACTTTTGTTGAAGTTATATTTTGGAATAGAGTTTGATTTCTTTTAGGATATCATATGGATTAATGTCATGAAAGAGTTCTTTCATGTTGGTCATTTGGTTGATTTTGTTTTTGGTTTTTTTTGTCAACCTCTATGGGTCATCTAATGCTGAAATCTAAATATTTTGAATGCAATTCCATGTCTTCAACTACAGACAAAATGTATTGTTGGTCATTTCGCTATAAAAATGTATTTTTATACTTTCTCATGTAATGGCATAACTAGTTACCCCCATGAATGATTACACTATAAGTAGTAAGTAAGTACCTATAAAGTCAACTGAGACTTCAGGAAGAATGACAACGAGATGATGCAAGCACGTCCGACCTTCTAATTAGTAGCTCTCACTACTAAATTGACTTGTGTGTATAACTGTACCATATTTCATATTGTACTGGTTGTGTACAATAAACCTTTCTTCTATTACCCACCTGGTGTTAAGTATTTATTCCCTTAGCATGGAATATAACACTTTCATAAAGTTTTGCTTTTAGGGGTTCAGTTTTAGTTTTGTTTAGGGGTTCACTATTTTCCCATAACTGGGACCCTAACAGGTGCTACCACCTTTGGTCAGGGTGGACCTGGGAGTAACAGAAATTAAGAGGTGGTTCCATACTCCTCAAAACCTCCAATCTCCTGATCAGAGGCCTTGCTGCCATCTAAATTGTCAAATATATTAATACTATCAATACTATAGCAGAGCACAGAGAGAGCGGAAGAAAGACAGCAGGAAACAAAGAGGGAGTGGGAGAAAGACAGTAAGACACAGAGAGGGAGTGGGAGAAAGACAGTAGGACACAGAGAGGGAGTGGGAGAAAGACAGCAGGACACAAAGAGAGAGTGGGAGAAAGACAGCAAGACACAAAGAGAGAGTGGGAGAAAGACAGCAGGACACAAAGAGAGAGTGGGAGAAAGATGACAGGAAGCAAAGACAAATAGTTTATCATCATACCCAGGACTAGATTTCTTTGTAGCTTAATTGTAAAAAGGACAAATTGCTTCACATGGCAAAGTGTCCTTGGGACAACAGGTCTGATGCTTTCAACTCAACGATTAATATGTTGTTTTGTTCATTTTATAAAGACGCAATGACTTTTGTTTTTAATCCAGGTTATGTTATGAATGTGATATACAAAAAGAGATGGCACTGTGGTACACTCATTAAATGTCGATTACAGGCTCTTGAGTTCAAGCACATTCAATCCTTCTTAAAATTCTGTGGCTCTTTGGAATTCAGCTTAGCACTGGAGATCCATTGCACCTGATCCACACTTAGGATGCTTAGCCAATTAATGTCCACTGTCCCAAAAATGGGATGTTGGGCATTAATGGGTTATGTGTAAAAACTATTAATATGGGATTTTTTTCAGCAGGACACAAAGAGAGAGAGAGGGTAGAAAGATGTTAGGACATATGGATAAAGTAGGAAGAAAGACTGTAGGACACACAGACAGAGGGGGAGAAAGATGGCAGGACACACGGAGAGAGATGGGAGAATGATGGCAGGACACATGGAGAGAGGGGAGAATGATGGCAGGACACATGGAGAGAGATGGGAGAAAGATGGCAGGACAGGACACATGGAATGGACAGAGGGGAGAAAGGTGACAGGACACATGGAGAGCAGGGGAGGAAGATGGCCAGGCACACAGACAGAAGGGAGAGAAAGATGGTAGTACTCACAAAGAGAGTGTGAGAAAGGTGGTAGAACACAGAGAGAGAGCATGAGAAAGATCGCTAGACACATGGACAGAGGGAGAAGAAAAATGACAGGACACAGGGAGAGTGATTGAGAAAGATTTCAGGACACATGGAAAGTGGGGGAGAAAGATAGCAGAGCACAGAGAGAGCAGAAGGAAGACAGTGGGATACAAAGAGAGAGTGGGAGAAAGATGACAGGATGCAAAGACAAAGAGTGGGAGAGGAAACAAAAAAAGAGAGAGAGAAACAGATAAAGATAATTAAAGACAGCAATAATAAGAGAGAGAGAGAGAGTAAAACAGGAGTAGAGAGAAGTGAGAGAGAGGAGTAAAGAAAAGTGGTAGCAGTCAGGAGTGAGAGAGATATTGGGATAAATAAGACAAAAAGGGAGATAACTGTTGCCCTGTACAGAATGTCTGCCAAGTGAACAAAGAATATTTTCTCAAATGTAACACACACTAAAATATGGTTTTGAGACTAAATAAAAAATATATTCTTATGCTAAAAGTCGTCAATTCTAGGAGATTTAGGAAATGAATGTTTCTTAACAAAAAAAAAAAAAAAACTTTTAGAATGCTTTTGATTATGTTTTCATAATATTAATATATTTGACAATTTCGATGGAAAAACATTTTAAATGTCACGGCTTATTAACTATAAGCCATCAAAAAAAAAATTGCTTTATAATTCAAAGCA